GGCCTCATGGAGTGGTGTCCAAGCTTACCTACTTTGGTTTGTTGTTTTTCTTGTAGGAACCTCTCCTGCTCCTTCTTAAAATCCCCCAGTATCGTCTGAAAGACAAACACCGCAACACAACCAAAATGGGTATAAGAAAATGCAAATTTCCAGCTGTTGAAATACAGTACTCCCAAGTCAAAGGCAAACGCAGTATCTATACAACAGCCATTACAGAAGTAGCCTGCTGCTGTCAATATCTCTCTGTGCACGCACCACATCAGATCTCCAAAGCCTGTTACTTTTGCACTAAAACTACAACTGAGTCTGAATTGAACTCTTTGACTTGGGGTGCACCAAGGGAAACGCAAGGAGAATGCAGGCAGTGTACAACCATAAGCCCTTCTTGATCACATACAGAGACACAACCTGAGGAAACAACGTTTTATGGTAGAAGTATTTTCTGCAGTTTCCCCCATGCGTCTGTGCGCGTGCACGGCTGAAGCAGCGAGGGGATCTCTCTACTCGCCCTGTCTATGATCGGATGTCCCTCCACAGATCTGCGGAGATTCTGGGCTGTCTCTGCCACCTTCCTGGAGGCTAAGGCGGCTGCACTGAACAGGTAGGCTGTGGAGAGAGGACAACAAGATCCAAAACCAAAGGTCAGAGGGAGGAGTCCGTTAAAGCAGAACGAGCTGTCTAGCACAACATCTCCACTGTCTAGTACACAGCACTGAAAAACAGCACTTTCCTGTCATGCGTATTGTCGGCATGGAAGACTGGGGGTTGCAATAAAAGGTGATAAGATGAATTAACTGCATTGATATAGTGCTTTTCATCCCAAGGTGCCTTACCACTTTACCAACACTGATGTGCTGCACTTGGTGATGTGCAGCAGCCATGCTGAGCCACCTACAGCCCCACTCCACTGCAGGTGGAATAGTGAGAAATGACTTCACCTATTGGAATAAGAGGACATTTAGGGAGCCCAGGCTGTGCAATCCCAGAGTGGAATTTAGCCAGGACACCAGGGTTAACATCCCTACTGTTAGGAATAATGCAAAGGTATTTTGAATGACCAAGCAGTCAGGACCTCAGTTTAACATCTCAGCTGAAGGATGTTTGCTACAGCCCAGTGTCCCTGGTTTCCAGTATCCTGGTACTGGGATATTGGTTTGGGATGTTCTGAACCAGAGTGCAAATTACCACCTACTGATCCACAACACCACCTGCAAAAACCCCTCCTCAGTATTAAGCAGCCTCAGTCTCCCTCAGCTGCTGTGATCTGGGTGCAGTATGTGGTGGCAATTTGGCTGAATTCATCTGGATCTCTTTCTGCACTCTACAAAATAGTTTTGGAAAACGATTTAAAAAAATACAAAAACACCGTCAGGTAAAGGGAAAAGTCTTCGACCAACCATTAACCCGAAACAGTTAAAACAGACGAATCCTATTTTTTCTCACAAAGTCTTCGCCAGATTGCATTTCCCGGATTTCTCCTTCCTACTTTCCGGATTTCCTTCAAAGACACCTACAACTGACGCCGTGTTTCTTCACTCAAAGGCACATACAGAGAACATTTTGAAAAGGTTTTATTTGCAGCAGAGATTTCTTGATTCGTTTGATAACTCACGGTCAAGAAAGTCTCTTTCATAATGGTGAAAATATGTGTACACACCTACTGTACAGTATATGTGCTGGAAGTTATTTATGCCGACGGTTCCCAACCAAAGTTTCAGTCTAGATGCTTTATGATGCTTTATGTTTCAGTCTAGATGCTTTTATGATGTGTCGTGTATGTTAACTAGCTTAGACAGAACTGTGGTTATGTAACACCAAGCGATCTGCTATCAAGCTAAAGTGTAACGGGATTTCTTACTTCCGATCGCCCTCGGTTCCTTCTGCGCCTCTCCGGCGGGTGTTCCGCCGCTCCTCTGCTCATCCACCGAGACATCCCCCGGGACAGTCTCTCCCCCCGACCCCGACTGGCCGTCTCCTCCGGAGGCGCGGAGCCAGCTGCCGAAAGGCAAAGACTTGAACATTTATCCGTCACTCAGCTCCAGCAACTGCCAGCACCATGATTAAACTTCTGCTGCTAAGTAACACACAGCCACCCCAGAGACCGGCCGGCCACTGCGCAGCTGCAGCGGAAGAGTGCGAATCCGCACAGTTCAAATAACGTGTGTTCAGCCGAAATTGATCCAGCTTGTCAAGAAGATGGGAGAAGCTATTACACTATTGATTTCCCACCACCGCTACAACAACAACAACAAC